CGAAGGTAATTTTTATTTAGGCAAGAAAGTTGGGCAAGGGATCAATCTCCCTCTCGAAGCAATTTTTACGAAATGGTTCTTCCGCTACTACCGTTTTCTGTCGCCGCTCCCTAATGCACATACCACACGCGATAAGTGCTAATTGATCCTGCTGCAATAATTTCGTAGGAAAATACAGCGAATTGCATCATAATCTCAAAAATGATCGCATCCTAAACCGGAAAAAGCATCCAAATAGAGTAAAAGTCATCAAAATGATGTCAAAATGATTCCAAAATAATCATTAAAAGTTACTTTTCAATCGTATATGGTTCATTTTAACATCTTTATATGCCGTGATTTGTTCTGCTTGAAGCATAATTTTTTTTTTAAGCAGAATATCAAATCACATCAAACGATACCGTCAAAATGATGTTAAAATAAATGGTAAACTGATTGGAGAAAAAACTTTTATGTCCATTTAACTTTAATTTTGGTTTAATTTACTTTTTATCTTTTCCTAGTTATAGGAATTAGAAAAAGATTGAATAAATTAAACTGAGATTAAAGTTTTTATCTACACTCTGTTAAATATCAAAAGAGCAATGATAACTCAATCCTTTGAGTTAAATAATATTTTATAATTTTTATCTTTCATGTGTGTCAAAATATAAATCAAATCCATTTCTGTGGTTAATTTAAAAATAAACATCGTCCAGATTAACGTATGCATTTAATAAATAATAAACTAAATTTGAATCAAATTTAATATATTTTCTTGAGTCTGAATTGTTTAACTCAATTATGTTATAAAAAGCAAATAAAATGTTACAATAACTAAAATTTTAAATTATTTTATTTCATCAACCAAGGATTTGTTTGCTCATATCTAAACAAAAGATTAATTGGTTCAACTAAATGAAATTCTCAGTGCATTAGTAATCATTTTAGAGCCGTTTTGATGTCATGATGACTAGTGTTCTGCTTGAGTTCTGCTTGTATTTGATTCAAGATTTGCCCTAGTCTCTGTTCACAGTGCATTAAGGGATACGTTACGTTGATGCATACGTAATGCATTAATACGTTTGTGAAGATGCATGTGCATCTATAGACGCGCCGTGTAATCTCATATCGACGAACGAAAGCCAATGTGTTATACGGTATTCCAGTGACCCATCTCGAGTCGCGCGACAGAACCGCTAACATGACTAACGAGATTAACATCCCGTACGTTATTAGCTTATTCAAAATGCCCCTTAGATATCATCATTTCGTTTTGCCCCATTACGAGGATATGCCCGGGAAAGCGTGTACAGACATCCAGCGATCCTTTTGCTAAACTTATCAGTAGGAAGGTTCTTCGGAACGATGGCACGTACCGCAAATAAAATAAGGAATGAAAACTCTTTACGGGAAGCTAAATTAATAATTTTCCAGAAAGTCCCGGCGGGGAAGAGTAACCGAGCAAGAAGTTGTTATGCATTTTTTAAAGTGTATGAGCGGCTACATATCTTCGGAGATACTTGCGGAGTGAATACGCCCTGTTTGGAGCAAACGAAATATTTTCATGAGTACCTTTAAAAATGGACGAATGTTTCTGAAATTCTACAAGGCTTCTTTTAATAAATAAATAATAGTTTTGAAGCTCAAATATTAATTTTCGTATGATGGAAAATTAGCCTAAAATTAGCGGAAAGTGAATGCAAACGTCATTCTCCGTGACATTTATTAGTTTATATAATATCGTTTAATTTAAGATTTGTCAAATTTTCGTTTATTCAAATTCATTTCTTTCTTCATTTTAATAGAATCCTGATTTGCAGCGCGCGATTTGCGATGTCAAATGTTAAAAAAAACATTGAAAGCGATGATCTCTCTCGACTTTGTTAAAAAAAAATTGACAAGTTGCTAATTATGAGAATATTTTACGAGGCTTTTTTAATAGATATAATAGCTTCGAAAGCATTAATTTTCATAGATGGTCTAAAATCAGCGAATAACGTTACTCTTTATGAAATTTTATTTATCGTTTAAGTTATGATCGATTTTTTTATTTTAGTGGAATCCTGATTTGCGGCGTGTTTCGTGATATCGAATGTCGAAATTTAGAACGTTGAAAGCGATGACCTCTCTCGTGACATTTTCGTTAAAGACAAATTGGCAAACGTTTCTGAAATAAACTAGCTTTTATAACAGATATAGCTTTGAAAAGTATTAATTTTCACATGTGAAATGAAATTTATTCGTCGTTTAATTTAAGATTCGTTGTTCAATTAAAATGTATTTTTATTTTAGGGAGGATCCTAATTTGATGCGCATTTCGTGATATCGAATGTCAAAATTTCGAACGTTGAAAGTAATAATTTCCCTCGATATTTTCGCTAAAGACAAATTGGCAAACGTTTCTGAAATAAACTAGCTTTTTTAACAGATATGGCTTTGAAAAATATTAATTTTCACACGACAGACGTTTTAAAATCAGTGGAAAGCGAATACAGCATAGCGTTATCCCTCGTGAAATGAAATTCGTCGTTCAAGTTAAAATGTATTTTTATTTTAGCAGGATCCTAATTTGATGCGCATTCCCTGATATCGAATGTCAAAATTTCGAACGTTGAAAGTGATAATTTCCCTCGACATTTTCGCTGAAGACAAATTGGCAAACGTTTCTGAAAACTAGCTTTTTTAACAGATATAGCTTTGAAAAATATTAATTTTCACACGACAGACGTTCTAAAATTAGCGAATGCATAGCATTCTTTTTTTATGAAACTTCATTTATCGATTAATTTAAGATTCGTCATTCAAGTTAAGATGGATTTTTGTTTATTTTAGCAAAAGTCCTGATTTGCAGCGCATTTCGTGATATCGAAATTTAGAACGTTGAAAGCGATGACCTCCCTCGACATTTTCGCTAAGGAAAAATTAACTCCGGTCAGGAGTTGCGTTATATATCGATTGTCTGCCAATTCTAGGACGTTCTATAGATCCGCCCATGAAATAAGAACGCTCTGATACGATCATTAGCCGGGAACTAACGGGTTGCCCGAGCCGCGGGTTAAAAATGAATCCTCGCACCTGGGGCATAGTACGGCGAGCCGCTGCGAAATTCCGAGATTTCTTCGTACATTCCCGAATCTCATTAAGCAACATCGGAGGGAGTCACGCGAGCGAGGAGAACGTGATTCGGAGCTCGAACAAGAATTCGAACGCGGTATAGAGGCCTCGAAGTCGCGACGTGCCGCGCCGGGTGGAGTTCCTCGGCACTGCAATGTTAGCGGTGGAACGCAACGTATCCGGATAACGCGATCGTCGGCGTTTATTCCACAGGAAGTGCCTCCCCACGTACGAGGAAACCTCCAAGTCATTTTTTCGTATGCGATATAGTATAGCCCTGATAATATATCGGATATTTCAGGGATAACTTCTTCGATAAATTTAGAATCGTTTTCCTTGACGAAGTTTACAGCCGTTATCTTTACAGAATAACATAATAAGATAATAAATATTATAAGATAATCCTAAGTAATATTTTGTTAGATAAAAGTCATGTCTAGATTTAAAGTAAAACAGACGTGATAGCAACTATTAAAGTGAAATGTTTAATTATTCAATTTTCAGGCTTTGGCTAATTAATTTTATACCAGTCCTGTACCAATTTTGTTGAGAATAAATGTTATATACATATATAATAAATTTTTGTTAAAAATAAATGTGTTATATATAAATCAAATGATATAACATTCGGATAGCAATTAAAGATAACAGGTGAAATGTTTAATTATCCAATTTTCCTCTTTGATAATTAATTTTATATCAATCCTGTATCAATTTTGTTGAAAATAAATATTATATATAGCGCAATGATATTTTGTACTCACTCTGTATATAACTAACAATTACACAAGTTTACCCAGAATAATGTATACATAAAATAAATCTTACAGGTATTACAAAATTGCTTATTCAACTATGTTAATTCTATAAAACGTCACATATAGTTGTCGCTTATAATACCTATTATAGTTGCTACCATTATGTCTTTTTCTCTGTAATTGAATCGACGATGAACATATAATTACTTATTTGTGCCATCGCGATAGAAACCTCCTCGTTTCGAAATGATTTACACGAGGTACATTTACTTTGTGCAGGCAAAGAATAAATTTTACGTAACAAACGATCAATTTATTTTTACTCTTGGAATTTGCAATCGCACGGAATGAACGGAAAAATCTACATTACACGGAAAGATCGACGTTGTGAACTCGCATGTAGGAGGATTGAAACAAGAGGATACCTTCACAAATTCGGGGGTAAAAAAACCGAAAAAAGAAAGGAAAATGCAAGACATGGGGGAAGAGTAGCGAGGGTGCGTTCGCGTTTGTTCGTTCGTTCGTCCGCCCGTCCGTGAGTCGAACGCAACCCTCGATGGCTCGCTCGTTCGAGTCGACTCGAATGCGCTCGAACGGGATAGGATCGAGCCAGTAACCCCTCGCGCATTTTCCCTTCGAAGACTGGCAATCTCCGTCCAACCGTCCAACGCTCGCGTTACCCCGAGTACGAGTGCACTAAGGCACAAATCTCACCGTTCTCCTAGGCCGATCTTTGCGAGCGCCGCACGACGTTGCGGACGTCTTGTATTATCGATTGACGAAAGTTACGTGGAGGGACTCGCCGCCGGGGCACGACGATCGTGACGTGAGTGAGCGAGCGAGCTGGGGTGAGAAGAGAAAAGAAAAAAAAAGAAAAGGAAGAAAGATTGGAGCAAGCGAGCGAAAAAATCCTCGCGCTCTCGTTACTCTCTTCCTTTCTTCTTCGCTCTAATATACGCCGTACTCTATACACGCTGCTTCTTTTCTATTCCTCGCGATCTCCATTGTATCTCGTTTTAGATCATCGTCGAAAACGAATGAGAGGAACAAAACACATCCCCATTCTTCGATGTAAAACTCCCGGAGAGATTTGATATCACAGAAAAGAGGCGAGAAAACAAAAAACACGCGGAGAGACAGATGATGATGACGAGGGGAATGATCGCACTCACCCTCACGGGGTTAGACCATCGCGATGGAAGCCTTGTTGGCAGCACGGACGACGAACATGCTCGCGTCGGAAACGGCAGTAGTGGCAGTGGCGGGACTGGTGGCACCCACGATGACGGCGGCGACGACGACGACGGCGGCGGCAGCGGCGGTAGCGGCGACGGTGGCAGTTACGACGACGTCGACGAAGCTGAAGAACGCGGAGAACGCGACGATTGTGGCGGCGGTGGTGGCGACCGCACCATGAGCGACGACGACGTTAGCGTTAGTGCGAACTGGCGATGACGGTGACGACGACGATGATAACAGTAACGATGACGATGATAATGACGACGAGTAGTCACTTCCCACCTCCGTACAATCCGGGGAGGGCACCATCTCCTCCTCGCCTGTGCGATCGCGTGTACACCCGACGACGACGACGACGACGAAGCCGACGTCTGCACTACTGCTGCTACTGCTGCTGCTGGTCTGTGCGACGACGACCACCACGCTATGACACCACCGTGGTCGCGCTACCACACCGAGTAACATCGTCGCAGTGTCATCGTCGTCGCGCCCCTCGGCGTGCGCCCCGTTTTTCGCGTGTTGCTGGCCGATACTGCTGGCTGGCGCTCGATCGCACCCACCGTGTGCGTGCGCGACGGGGGTGGGCACGAAAGGAAAAAAAAAAGGAAAAAAGGGTCGAACGAACGCACAGGACGCACGCACTCTTTCGTCGCTCTCTTCCTCTCTCCTTTTCTCCCTCTTTCTCTTTCTCGCTTTCGTTCTCTCTTGCTTTCTCTCTCTCTCTCTCTCTCTCTCTCTCTCTCTCTCTCTCTCCCTCTGTCTCGCAGCGATCACACGCACGAGGACCTGAGAAGACGGTGCTCGTCCCCCGATCGACTGCACGACACCGATGCCCGCTGATGCCAGGAGACGCCCCAACGCGGGGCACCCAGTTCGACGTATGGCGAGCGACGGCTCACCCCGCGATCCGCGTCTCTGCTCGGCCCGACTCGCGCAGTGCCGTAACTGCGAGGCGGGAGTGCAGGATCACCCGCGGTGCCCGTTCGGAGGTGTTGGTTGGGCGCGCACTCCCTTCCCCTCTCGCGACCTTATCTCTTAACCCTTCCTCCGGCATCCCGTACCCGCGTGATATATCGTCCCACTTCTTCGAAAACAAAAAAAAACACTAAATCCAACGCGGTCCTTTGATGACTAATCAATCTTTCATCCGATCTCACCTTTCTTTCTCTCTTTCTTCCTCTGTCGCGAAATTCCGAATAGCAAATCCGCCACTGAAGATTATTGATTTCGCGTTGAATCGAACTAAAGGCGAGTGATCTTACGGATCGTCATGCGAATTTCTGCCACGTTCGCACGTTGGTTCAACCGGTGATTTCCGTATTTAGAGACTTTTCCCTAAACTGTTCCGCGCGAGGAAAGGCGAGGGTAGTTTTAGTCGCGGGCACCGCGAGCCCTTCGAGGTGACCTGGAGCCGTTGGGCACTCAGCGGCAAGGCGGGGGGCTAAGGAAGCCCTTGAAATCAATAGCCAGCCGCTACTGCCGCCGCCACCCTGATCAGGCTGCTCTGCGCTATATCCATTGCTCCGCCACCACCACCACCACCACTACCACCGCCACCATCGTCATCGTCACCGCCGCCGCCACCGCCGCCGCCGCCGCCGCCGCCGCCTCCTCTTCCCTCTTCCCATATCCCAATTTATCCGCACGGCGTGACCGAGGAAATCTCGTCTCGCGCCGTGCCCGACTTTAGTTCACAGTCGAACGTCTCTCGGTACCGAGCGTCATCGGTCACCAAGTGACCCGATCACGGAAGGGAGTAGGGGTGTCCACAGGGCTGTCGTGGAAACGCGTCGCGACGCATTCCGATAGAATTTCGATGACCGCCAATTCTCTTCGTTATTGTTATTAGGGAGCCTGGCCGAATCGATTCTATTCCAGGGATTGCTAATAAAAGAAGATTAGAGAGGTTGTCTTCGAGGCATTAAAGGGAAACGCCTGTGCCCTTCGATTTGTACGGAGAAGGTTTCAATTACGAATGCGAAAAACGACGTAGTCACGAAAGTCCTTTATGTATAGAATTACTTAAAGAGCTTTGCTTTTGCGGAAATTTTGCTACGCGATTAAAATCGAGACATTTTTCCATGATGCTACAGCCAAAAATTAGTGAAGCTCAATTGAAAAGATTTCTCCTGGCTCTTGCTGTACGAAACTCAACATTAATATTTGCCGTATCCAAGAAACGTTACTATATAGAAAAGACGTTTTTACTGAAGTATCTAAAAGTATTTAAAAATTTTTAGCTAGTACAGATCTGAAAATAATTTTATTCGACATCAAAATAATTGTGTAGAACGCTCAAACTTTTTGCTAGAATCTCAAAACTTTTTATCGATATCGTGCTCAAGATTCTTACGTAATTATTTTGATGGTCCAACAAAATTATTTTCATCTATACTTAAGCCCTAGCTAAATTTTTAGATAGCTTCCAACAAACTCTTTCCTTCTGTGAGCAAAAAGTCTCTAATCCATCTTCTTATATATGCATGACTATTGAATTTATAATGTCAAATTACACTTAATTTGAATTATTTTGAATTATTTCTAGAGATCTGCTCCTATTTATAATATGTCATTAATTAAAACAATGAAATTAAACAGTTTAATTGAAAAAAATGTATTAAATTTGATTCAGATCATTTAGTTTATTATTTACTAAGTGCATATGTTAATATGGATATTGTTTACTTTAAAAATAATTGCAAATGGATTTATATTTTGATATAAATGAAAGTTAAAAGTAACATAATGTTATTTAAGGAATTGGATTGCCATTAGTCCTTTGATAACTAAGAGAGTGGTATAAAAGCCCCACGTTCAGCACTAAATCACGAGTTGTCATGGCGATCCTTATCTAAACCTTCGCTTTGTCCTTTCCTTCTATGTTATTGGCTATATTTAGTAACGTGGCGTATCTCGGAGCACGCTATTGTCAAAAATCTTTAATGGAATGCGGGGCAACAGCTACGGCTTATCGATAGGATGAGAACAAAGTTTTTCGTGTGAAGCGAAACAGATTTGATCTTAAACCGATGACGTAAATACCATATGAGAAACGGGTATGAAAAAAGTCAAACTCATCCCCCGCGTCTCTCTCCAGCATTTATAGGTCTTATACTTTGATGTTCTTACCGCAATGGGTGGACGCGACCTTCCGATATGACCGAAAATATAGACGCGTAGGGAGACGTACGTGGATTGCGGTCTAGTTATGAGTTGACCTACTCCACTTTGGTTCTACCTACGCGCTCCTTTTCCAGGGATGCTATCCCTTTTGGAAACTGTCTGGCATCATGAGGAGCTTGCTCGAAGTCACGATTTTCCGACATTTTATCTTATATTATCTACAAAATGTTTTTTCTACGTTCATTTCAACTCGTTTAATCCCCACCCGAAGAAATAATTAATGTTAAAATTATCAATGATATTAAAACTTTAATATCCAATTAAAATTTGATATATCCAGGAATCTCAATATATCTGATCTGATTTTAATCAAGTATTTGAAAAACTCAAACTATGGGCAGTATTCATAGTCTGTTTCTATTTTAGATCGTCTTAAATAATGTCTCAAGATGCTAATGCAGCTCTCTAATTGGCTTATGATTATCATAAGGCTGTACTTAAGATTGTACTTAACATTCTCAAATATAAGAATCTCTCAACTATAAATACCGGCCTGTGTAACATGACTAGGGACATGCTGCAAAAATTTAGCGATATTCTAGCGATCGACTTGAGTATTCTATATAAATGGCTTTATTCAGCAGAGAAAACAGCTTTGTAACTGTTATAAAATTTTGCAATATAACTGGTTTATACATTTAGATCCATAAGGAATCAAAAGCAAGAACTGATTGAAGAATGTTACAATAGTTGCAAAGCTATTGCTTTCTCTGCTGAACGCAGCCATTGTATTTTGATAATTCAACAAATCTACAGCTAGCTAAATTTTTATATAAGCTTCAGCAAAACTTCCTCTTTTCTTACTTAAAATAAGTAATTTTCAGTATTAAATGTGAATAAAAGTGGATTATTTCTTATATTTGAGTTCTTGATAAATAAAAAAATGTGAAATAAAATATTAACGACGATAATAATTTATGAATTTAGATTTAAATTTCAGATCAGCCTTGGAGATTCACTAATCCCGACACGTAATCGACGGGATTATGTGAAAATGTATAATTACTCGCTGTGGTATCGAATACATCAGAAGTCTTGCATGGTACATTCTTTAATAGAATACTTTTATTCAAACACGAGTGTTAACGAAATCGCTGTTAAAATTAATCGCACGTAACGACGTGGTCACGCATGAAGCAAAACCGCAAAAACTCGATAATGATATATAATTATACGTATAACAATCGTATATAGATCATATACAACAAATTCTTGGTATATCTGTAATAAAATCTCACTAACGTAGTAGTATCTAATGTTTATGCATTGTGCATACTAATTGCATCGCTTTTTTTTCTTTTCTACGGAATAATGAAGAGTATCATCTGGTGCAGTTAAAACACACGAGATGAGAAACGTGCATTTGCCCTTTCTTAGCCACAAATATACATAAAACACACACACACACACACATACACACACGTGTGTGTGTGTATGTGTGTGTGTGTGTATATACACACATATATTCAGTTTTACAAAGCGCGACAAAGATCAGGTTCGAATTAACAAACTTCATAATTAATACACGTGATGTACATGTAAAATATATATGTAAGGAGAAATAGAGCTCTCGATTTTACACGATTCAAGATCTAAAATCGTTCTCTCGTTGTAAGAGCCACTGAATTCTCCTCGCCTCGAAATCAAACGTATAGGAATGTCTCGGAAAAATAACGCTATATTGAAGAGAAGTCCGAATAAACTGTCTTCGAATCAGAAATTCGTACAGCGATGAAAATTTCATACCAGTATGTAAAATACACGCGTCGTCGAGCGCGGCGAAAAACGCATTTATACAGTATACGTGTCTATAATTTAACGGCGGAATGTATAATGAATCTTTACGTCTTTTATATCGTATATTAGCCTTTCGTATATATCCTTTATATTGCATAGAGCCGCGAGAATACATACGGAAAATTCATAGTTCGCTAAAGATTTGCGAGGATCAAGTGGAGTGATGTAAAAAAACTCGGAGCGACGGAGGAAAAGTCAGTAAAGTTTAAATCGTGTTTATGCTACATTGCCTTCTAGTCCTAAGGCACAGTTATATAATATCTCTATGTCTGTATGAGATAAGTACGTATGTTCAACAATAGTACTTTAATATGACAACCTGCAATCGGCCTGTCAGCTCGTTGAAACTTGAATTGAGTCGACTCGCGTTCGCTTCGGACTCCTCGACAAATAATATGTCCATGCATAATTATCGCATATCAACGCTCATCTGGACGACGATCGAGCAGAGAGGTGCATAATTCAAAACTCTTTAGCGTTTGTGATATCCGAGACATATCTTTATTCGTTATTTTTGTAAGACAAACATAAAGAAATAAAAAGTACACTGAAGCGTCAAGTAAATTCAATGCATTTTATAACGTTCCTTTCTCTCTCTCTCTC